GTAATTTCGCTACGGTCGCGCAAAGAGACCAAGAAATAGCATGAAATAGACAAAAAGAGAGTCCATCGGGCGAACGAAACATTGCAAATGACACATTATTGCTATTAACACCGTCGTTGTTGCCAGATCTAGAAACAAGAATTGGTACAACTAGCAACAAAACTAACAGCATGGCGACTTTCTATTTTTAGCTTCTACAAGTTTTAGCAGTTGGCTATGGGACGTGAGTCAAAGACGAGTGCCATACAGTCAAAGGCCAATACCACACATTCATTTGCAGGAACAGTCTCCATAGTCTTCTTTTCTTTCGTCCAACCTGTTAAAACTACACGTTGCCGGCACTCAGTCGGAAACTGCAATGAAAACAACGGTATTTATTTCTTTGACTATTTGGAACGGGCCTATGTAGACGCGGGGAGCTTGCATGATCAGTAGAGGCCACAAGTTCTCCAAATATGAAGTCATGTATTTTCTCTAGGGTAGCTAATCCGTTAGGTCCCAGTTTTCTCCACCTTAAAGAACCTCTATTTTTGAGATAATGAAGTAGACCTATTTACACATCTTCCTCTGTAGCAAGAATACCTATTTTATCGCTGAATTTAAAATTTGGAGCGCTTGAGGCCCGTGGAGTTGTTTTTCTTATCCGAAAGGATGGCTATGTATATCAGCCAGCAGGTTGACACGTAATGCGTCTTCTTTACTTAGAAAACCAGACTCGCAAATGCAAAACAAGATAGCCCAAAGGTCCCCGCAGACCCGTTTCGAATGGTCAAATATGTACCGTATGAGATGGGGTGGTTGATTTATAGAACCATGTACTGTAGCTTATTGCTACTAATACGTAAGAGGGGCAATCTTTCATACTCTCCCCGTCTTAGGAGAACCTGGATATAATTAGATGTGTCGTCCTGACAGTAAGATGTTAAGTCTGACCTCTACAGGCACCAAAATGTGTCCGACGTACTGTCGTAAACCATAAATGTTCATGCTATGGATACACTGCCTCCAGAGGTCTATTGGATGTTGCTAGGAGATCTGCCACTCAGTGATCTATGCAACATAAGTCGATGCAGCAGGTCGCTTTGCGAGATCGCCAAACCGATGCTCTACCGTGTCCTTCACCTTAACTTCAACGACGGAAACTTAAGATCTCAGGCACTCCTACTATTAAGGACACTGGTGTGTAACCCAGGTCTCTCCAGGTTCGTAAGGTCCATCTCTCTTGAGAACAACGGATCGGGAGGCTGGACAAAGGGACATTCGCAACTTTTAACTCTTGTACTGTCCGGTGTGAGCTTACGCCCGGAGAGAATTAGGGGGTTTTCCACAACCTCTTCCTGGGTTCCACTTGATAAATACTTCCTCAACCTCAATTCCGTAGTGTATACAGGCCATATAACGTCCGCTGAACTTGGTTGGTTTCGCTGGCATCTATCGAACTGCAAACAGATATCACGTCTTCATTTATGTCTTCCTAAGCGCGTATCTAACTACCGTTTTCGCCTGCTGGAGGCGGCCTCTCTTGATTGTTTGAGTGAACTCTGCCTTGAACATTGTGCGTTAGAACCTTTCCTTCCAAAGCATCCATGGAGGTTACAGTGGCTTGACCTAAGATTCTGCTCAGGTACCGAGGCCTTCATCGAGCGGTTATTATCAGGCAATCAGCTGCGATTCGTGAAAGTGCTCCGTCTTTCTGGTCGGTTATCACGAAGGACGTTTCTCTCTTTACTATTTTCCTTGGACGAAAATCATCACTTGGAACAATTATCCTTTCGCCTGGACGGTTTGCTACAACTGGCAGAAGGAGATCATAACGGCAGGTCGCTAGCACCATTGAAACTCGAGGTTTCTCTTGACGGTTTGCGGACGAGAATCCTAGGCCACCTCAAGACTCACGGCTCTAGGCTGCGATCAGTCATAGTAGATATTCGGCAGGACATAGACTTCTGCGAGCCCTGCCTATCATTCTCAATAGAAGATATGGCGATTATTATCAACTCTTGTCCTTCTTTGACGTTCTTGAGTTTACCTGTCCATTTTCGTAACGTATCCCCGGACCAAGTCAGACATCTACACTACCCAGTTAAACTTCAAGCCCTGCATATGAGGGGCGACTGTGGCTCTTTCAGTGATGTGGCTAGAAATATCAGTACATTGGTCAGCGTGTTTAAATTTCCGCCGAGTTTCCAAGCCTTTGTGGGTCACGGCAAGTCGCTAAAGATTATTCACATACCGCCTTCAGGACGTTCCTTTTTTACTAGTGTTAGCAGGAGCCAAAGGTTGTCCTATTGCCTCGATTTATGATCGCTCACTGTAACCGGGTGGTGTTCTGTAGGTTGAGTTATTACAGAAGCGGCGCCAACAACGGGTGTAGATATTAAAAGTTGAGCTTTTCTTTTCCCTTTTCCCTTTTCTCTTATTG